ATCTATCGCGGTCATTGATTTAGCAGATTCTTCTGACTCAAAATATCTAGTTAAGGGCAGTTCTCGTGGTTTCTTTTTTGTTTAGACTTAGTCGATGTTTATCTATCTGTGCATTCATATTATTTATTATATTTCTTATTTACGAGTAAGTAGAAAAAGAAAATATCACAGTACTATAAGATAGGACATGGCTCATCACCGGAAACTTAAGAATTTATCATCGGCATTTTAGTTCCTGTAAGCCTTCCGCATTCTGGGAAATTTAAAGAGTGCCACGGTTTGCCGGGGACCTTCGTCATGCAAAGCCAGAGTGGAACAGGTGGTGCCACTCCTGCACGTGGGCGCTAATTGAAGGGAGTTTGCGCACCGACAACCAATTGCGCGTTATTGGAAACTCGGAAGCGAGGCGATAGTGACCTTTTCAGAACGGCGACCTGTGTCTGGTTTATACAGATCTCTGTTTCGTGTGAATAATGATACTGCTAATCACGTTTTATTTGTTATTAAGAACGAATTTCAAATCGACCTCCGTGCGTGGCTGGTGACTCATACTCGGTTAGGATAACACTCTTCGCAATAGAAGAAAAATCGGCGAATAATACAATAATCAAAGAAAATCGGTAAAAACGCTGTGTATAATAAGTATAACATAAGACCGAATGGAGAAACAGCAGGATATATAGATGTACATAAAAAGGCGGGCCCGTTATCCTCACCGTGTATGTTGTTTACGTGAGAAGCGAGGAGACGAGAGGTAGTGACAGTCAATTCCTTATTTTTCTTCCTTATTTCTAATGGAGAAGCTAATCTCACACCTTCATTACCCCACAGTCACACTTTTTTAATAGCCTAGAAGCCCTCGAAGCGAAAATATCGTCGAATATCGCCTCGTGAAGACCGAAAATCGCGAGAGAATAGCGAGTGGCGTCGAAGGAGCGGGAACAGGAGGGAAGACTTCGGCCTTTATCGTACTGCAAAATATCGCTGTGTTTGTTTGTCTGCGTTTGTTTGTGTCTGTCTGGCTCCTGGGAGTTGGTAGTGTGGCGGACTCGGTCATCGCTGTTGCTATTTCTGCAAGAATGACAGAGTGGGGGAGTGAATAAATTGCAAATAGCGTAAACTTAACATTTCCAGGCGCAATTTTTTACTTCTTTCCTCTCCTCTTAAACTATAAACTCGCCTTATTTTAAGTTTTGTGTCCCTTATTTACTCTCTTCGTGTTCTCTAACGCAGTCCTAGATATAGGATACGTCGCATTTACCCATCGATTTCTTAATAATTTGCGTCCTTTGTTGATTAACCTGTTGATGTGTGAATTACTAACTTCTGATTTTTAGATTCTTGGAGGTTTCGGAGTCCTTGTCGAATATCAATGGATTTTTCGGTATATTAATAAGGAATTTTATCAACAGTTCTCTTTTTATGTCTTATTAAGGTTATGCTTTCGTTGCGCATTCGAAGACCAGAAACCCAGCAGATCCTAGCGAATGGTAGGCCTATGTGGCAGTCTTCGTCCCCCCGTAAACTTCGGCAGCGTTGTGGAGTATTACTTAGATAAGTAATGTCATCATATTTGGAAGTCTTATGACTGCATTCATTTTTCTCTTTTGTTTTACATCTACTCTACTGGTAATACAGAATCGAGTCGCTTCTTTTTTTCCGATTATTTACTGTAAAATCTTAACTGTTATAAAGCTCGTCAAAAAGTGTGATTTAGAAACAAGTTTTACCCTGCATATAATTAGCATTGTCGAAAATGTCTGTGTGAAATTATTTATACAAGGAAACTGGTGCAATGACTGGAACAAAGCCTCATCCAGTAAGTATTTAGATTTTATATTCTAATCTAATATTTGTTTTCATTAATTTGTTAAAAATTGACTTCTGTATATCCATGAGGAAGTAGTGATTTTAGGGATACACAGCAATGAGCTATCTCACGTCAAAGAATAGACTAAAACGTGTTCAGACTGAAAAGAAAAACATTTCAGTGATTATTTTATACCAGGTGAATGTTTAAAGTCTTACTAATCCATTGGTAAGACTATCATGCAACGAATTGGTTGCGTCACTTGAATTATCCCAGACTAGCTATCCAGAAGTAATGAATATAGCTTCATATTACTCTCTCGTGGTAATTTAGTGATCCGGACAGTTCGGCATTCCAACTATGTATCGTTATAATCCAGGGAGTACCTTATATTTTTTCACAAAACTTCTGTAATGTTTTCATTACTTTTGCAGAACAGTCTCCTGAAAATCAGTTTTGCAGTCAGTACATGTTCATTAACAGTGGACAAGCCAAAAGAAATTAGGCACAGTGTTGTCAGCCAGTAATTCACTGTGTAACAGGTTGTTAAAGGATGCTTGTTGTTCAGATTCAGGTATGAAATGTAGGCCTATTACAGCTCTATGGCATGAGTATTGTGAACAAAATGAGAATGAGATTGCTACTGAAATTAGTGGTGTGAGGTGTTCTCCTGTACTGTACTATATCCCGTTTATTTCTTATTCCACCATAACATCATCAAAGAAAATTGTCACAGAAGTATTAGTTTTCTATAGTGACAAATATTATCATTTATACTCAGTCTTTATAATGTCCCAGGTAAATCCATTCGAGATGGGTAAAGTTGCAGTTAAACATTGTTGATGCTGTGAAGTATTAGTGCATGCATCACTGTACCTGGGCAATTCGTTGATGGTCTCGTGAGGTGTTATCATGGCTGGGGTTTATATAAAATGCTTTGGTAAATTGTGAATGGTTATTTAGTCTTTGCAAAGAATTTGGGGTTAATCTTTCAAGATATGGATGCATTAAGTTAAGGCTAAATTGGAGATGATATTCTTGAAGAGGACAAAAGTTAATCATGGATGCGCTACGCTAATATTCCTGTAGAAGAGGAGAAGTTGTAGTTGGTGGTACAAGAAACAATCTGCAGACATGAACAGTAACGCCACAAATGAGGGAAAAACATTGCGGAGAGCGCCACTCAACTGCTCAGTGCTGCAGAGATTCAGCCTTATCTTGCTGTACATACCAAGTGAAAACATTGTTTCCTTTTGGGTGCTGGCGGGCAGAGACCCCCATCAACCCTCCTCTTAGGCAGTGCCTGGAGGGTACGCCTAGTCATCGCTATTTAGGATGTTGAATTATGTGACATGGAGTTGAGTGCATCCATACTGTAAGGAATTACCAAAGTCAGTCGTCGGTAGAAGAAATAATCTTCATACATGAATGATTACAATACAAAAAAGGAAAAAAGTTGGTGGAAAAAGCTGCTCAACACAGTGCTCTCGAGTTTCTGCTCCCCTTGGGCAGTACAGCCAGTCACGGCAACATAAATTCTAGAAAAAAATTCTGTGACATGGAGTAGGGGCCTCATTTTCTTGGGAGTGTATTAGTATTGTAAAGAATTACCAAATTTGGTATAGTTACAAGGTTATTTGCTCTGAGATAGCATTCCCTGATGCATTGTACCATTATCATCTTTATATGATAAGTCTGTAAATATTTTGAAAGATGCAAGCTAGTCCTCTTTTTCTCTATCATTAAGATATTTCAAGTACAAGTCGCCCTTTTTCATGTGGACAAGCATAATTGATTCTAAGATTAGATTGAACTTGACGTGGCATTTCCTTCATGATACATCATCCAAAGATGCAGATAAGTATGTGTTTGATGAGTTAGTTATTGTTAATATCATGTTCATATATTGCAGTATAGTGAAGGTGATTCAGTAGCTGTAAACTAACATTAGTTTCCACTATTGTCAGCAATTAACTCAATATAGTACTTTTTTCTAGGGTGTTAGCTATTGCTGTTCAGGAGGTAGTCATTGAACATGAGAATTTTTGTTAGAATGAGTGAAATGTTTTGTATTGAAGGCAGAGCAATTGCCTGGTATTTATTGATGTATCAAGTCATTATGTAGCTTCAGTTCTATCACAGTTAAGATATTAAGTCCCTCAAAATATTTCAACTATATTTGTTACAAGGAAGAGTTAGTATTATATTTTTTATAGGGTTTGAAGCAGGATTATGTATTGGGGTTAGATATATTTCTCAGAGGTTGCTGCATCACGCAACAATTTGCAGTATCATGCAAGAATCAGCAAGTTTACTGAGAATTGCATTGTCACTTGTCTATGTGCTAAATGATGCAACATGATGCAGTGATCCATAACGTGTCCAGCAATCTAGTCCAGTTCAGTTAGAAAATCTTTTAGAAAAGGATAAATAGTGTAATATTCTTACACGCTAGTGGTAGGGATAGAAATTGTCAATTATCGACTTGAAGGTACAAGGTTTCGGTGAAGACGGCACGGTGAGAAGGGTAGTTCCTAAACCTTCTAGTATTATGCACTAAGACCGAAATATTCGAAATACCAAAACATTCAAAGTTTCGAGTAGCTACTGGATACTTTGCTGTGAAAAATTATGAACTTGTATTTACACTTAACCTCAATAACAAAATGAACTTGGTAAAACTCCTTCGCTCTTTTTCTCCTGCCTTGTATTTACACTTAACCTCAATTTTCATTTAGCTCTGTTTTCTGTTTTTTCTTTCTTTTTCTTTTTCTTTTCTTTTCTTTTTTTTCTTTTTCTTTTCTTTTTCTTTTTCTCTTTTCTTTTTCTTTTTCTTTTCTTTTCTTTTCTTTTCTTTTCCTTTTTTTCTTTTTCTTTTCTTTTCAAAGTACATTTATTCTCTACTACAATCTTTGTGTGGAATAACATATACAGTAATTTTTGTAAAAATGATTTATATTCAGCATATTCATAATTAAACATGGCATATATAATTATCTGCACTATTTAAGAGTAACCATGAAAAGCTTCATTAAACTTAATAGCTTAATTTCACATTCATATATTTAGCTGATTTATTTTTCCATGTAATCCTCTGTATATTTTAACTAGAAACTACATCTTGGTGTTCATTAGACTAAAAAGTCGAGGTTCAAGGTTTCGGTATTCTATCCCTTGGTGTATTTTTGGTATTTTTTCAGTACTGCTGTTAATTTTAGATTAAATCTGTATTATTTAGTATTTATTTATTTATTTTAGGGAGCCTGTCATGTGTTTTATGGCATGTTGATTCATCATAACAAAACTTGCTAAATAAGGTAATCCATTGAAACATTGTAGTAAAGAGGAAAGGGCAATGCCAGTCTCGAGAGATGGAATGTTAAAATATTAAGAAGATAAATAACAGTGAAATGGCACAGTCATTAATGCTGGCAAATATCTCCTTCTAGAATGAGTTGCTAGCCGAGGCTTAAAGTTTACTCAGGGTAAACAACAGCGGCAGTATTCCCCCCATTATATGAAGACATCAGGCAAAAATGGTAAAGAAATGTCAGTGCCTAGTCACGCTAGCCAAACCGTAGGGTGATGAAGTAGCATCAACCTGCACCACATGTCCCCACGGTAATTGGCCACCAAATTGTGCGTCTACATTTATTAGAGTCATAACTAAGTCGTAACTCCTCTCACCTGTTGCTCTTGTACCAGTCTTGTCTGGTATTTCATAAGCTGACTTGTTTTTCGTAAGTAACCTTAGCGCACTGAATGCTTAAACTTATTTTGCTGAAAGTTGAGTCATTCCTGCAACAGTTCCCCCCTCCCCCTAACCCACCCCCACCCCAATAGGTTATACTTGAGTTGATCAGTGATAAGACTTGTTTCTGAAAGATCTTGCTCTCTTTCTCCCTCTTCTTCTCCTCCCTTCCTTTCCTTTCCTTTCCCTTTCC